TCAAGACAACTCCAAATGGGCATTTTGGGGGTCAAGTTTCCTGAAGACTCGCTTCAGCACTTGCATCATTTGTCAGGCAGTGTATTAAAGGATGCACCCTTATTATTGTCCTTGGTGCTTTTGTTGTCCGGCGGGCTTGCTGAAACCCAAGGCTTGTTAGTCACGTACCCTGTCTTTCGCCCCAGTTTTTAACCGCTTCACCCAGACCTCCGCAGCAAAAACTTTATTGGGGCGAAATACAAGGGCCTGCATTGCGTGGGGAACGAGCCCGAGCCGCAGCTTTTTGATCCAACCTGCACCTGCCGGCTGCGGCGGGGACGGACCGGGCCGGGGCCAAAGCATCGCCACCGCATGCGGGCACGGGCGGTCAGCGGGCACGGCACACTCCCCGCTCCCTCCCGCACCGACCCCCCCGCAGGCCGCATCCACCACACGAGCGGGTTTTGTTCGTCCTCAGCTCAAAGCGGTTCCCCAGCACACGTCGCGAAGGCCCTGCCCGCCCACCCCCCGCACCCTGGAGAAGCCGCGGGCGCTCCCCTCCCTCCCTACCTGTCTCGTCCTCGTCGATGCGCAGCGCCATGGAGATGCACTCGAAGGCCCGCTTGTGACACGCCCGCACCGTCTCGGGCGCCCCGCCGGGCTCGGGCGCGTCGCCGGCCCCGGCCCTGCTGCCCTTGGCGGCCATGAGGGCGCCGCGGGAGAGGCGCTCGCAGAGCCAGGCGAAGAGCAGCCCGAGCTGGAAGGCGACGAAGCGGAGCAGGGCGAAGGCGGCGAACAGCGGGTACGAGAAGTAGTACAGGTTCCGCTTGTGCGGGGACGCCGCTGCCGTCGCCGCCCCCGCCGGCGGCACGGGGGGCGCCGGCCCGGGCGGCGAGGAGGGAGAGGCGCCGGCGGCCGGAGGCGCGGAGCTGGAGCCGGCTGAGCCCTTCTTCTTCCCTCGGCCGCCCGGAGAATTCATTCACCGCCGTCGCCATAACCCGCTGCCAGGGACTGACAACAACCGGCCATGGCGATGGCGGCGGCGGCGGCGACGCCCCTTTCGGCCGCCCCAGGGGGAGGGATGGAGGGAAAGAGGGAGGGAGAGAGGGAGGGATGCGGGCGGCCCCGGCCGGGAGTGGGGCGGGGCTTTCCAGCGCTGTGCCTGGAGAGAACCAAGGCTGCTCCAGCCGTGGCCGAGGCCGTTAGATGTCGGCACATGGAAACGCACTGAGTGGACGGAGGATGAATAATTTAATAGGATTAATTATTCTGACTGGAGTCGTGAGCCGCCCCGCAGGCACAATGCAGCGCGGATCCCTGGCGTCGCTCCCGCCGGGAGTCACTGCTAGAGGCACACGAGGAGGGCCCGGGGAATTCCCTCGCACGGAGGGACGTGTGGCAGCCAGTCACTGGCGGTGTCCGTGCTTCCGCCGCCTGGAATTGCCCCCGGGAGAGCGTCCTCCCGTGCTTTGTCTGCTCCGCATCTCTGTAATGGAAATGACAGGCTGTCTGCTCACATAGAGGGAGCTAATGTAATTCAGTATACATTATAGATACATCGTCCTGGGAAGAAAAAAAAAATAAAATCTGAACTCTATTACCACCCTCGTTACAAAAAGTGATCACCCAGTTGTCCAAGTCCTTCTTTGTCAATTATTTGCCCAGCTATAATTATTTATTTGTGTCTCCACTAATGAGACAGATCCTCCAGCTCTCTACTCTTTTGGTTATTTCAAACCTTAAAAACGCTTTGGTACCTTTGGTCTAGGAAACAAGGGGAGGCACCCACACAACAGCATTCCCACGTTCTGTGCCTACTGCTTTATTCAACAGTGTAGCAAGGCCCTTCCTCTGTGCTTCAGTCTTCCTCCCCTTTTGGTTGCCTTGCCCATTGGTTGATCTTTTTTGCTGTTGTTTTGCTTTGTCACGTACTCTGTTCTACAAATAAAATACTGAGCTCCTGATGCTAATTATGACAGATCATCTCTCTCCCACACCTCTGAACTGCACACAGTAGCCCAGAGAGTCCCCAAACAGTAGACCCATAATTCAGTGCACAAGCAAGTTTCCCCAGTTTATAGCAAGAAATTGCAGTTGGTGCTGTGTGTTAATTAAAAGGACATGCCAAAGTGAAATCACTGCTGTCTGCCATGTTTTATTTATTGTGATTATTTATTTTTTCAAAATTACTATAAAACTACTGGTTTTTTCTTGTTTGCTTATGCCTTGTATACTTACTTCTAGTTCCCTTGATAATGTGTATTGATTTTCTTAAATGACTGTGTGATCTGTTTTAATGACAGAACTGATTATTTTCTTACTGTATAAACCACAGAATTTTATTAAAATATAAAATAACTATTCATGACCTAGAACCATTACTAGACAGAGATAGTGAACCTGTCTCTTGTCTAACTTGAAAATGTAGTAATGTACATCGAGTATTTTTCTCCTGTACTTGGTAAGAAGGATGACGTACTACTATTATGAAAATATTACTGAAGTATTTTCCAGTCCGCTCATGACTCAACAAAGTTCAGTATCTTTTTTTTTGTCAGTATGCTTAACTATCCTTTAAAAAAAAAAAATCTCATTTGCCGATATAAAGGCTTAACAAATTTTGGAATATCAAAGAAATTCTGGAAGCTTCAAGCTGAGTTAATACTAAGTAGCATTCAAAAATGTGAAGTGAAATAAGCCCCATGACAACAGATTACTGAACTACTGTCTTTATTATCTCATTACTATCTAAAGTATCATCCCACTCCTGACCAAAATCAAAAAGCTAGTGAAGAAATAAGTTTATTAACAAGGACAGATTGAATGACAATAGAAGACAATGTACCTCAGTGAATCCTGACTGGTCAATCTATTCAGTTATTTTTACTTTTAAAAAATTTAGAATGACACCTTTGTAAATCATGTGAATGTATCACGGCAATAAAGGAGTGCACCTGTTAGGGGAATAACATAATGTTAAACCAAAAACACAGCTTCAGAAGCAGACACCAGTCAGGAATTGTGAGAAAACCTAGAGAATCAGTTCACTATTGTGGCTATTAAATATTTGAGCGATCTGCAAGTTAAATCTCCCTACCCTCCTACATTAAACTGGCTCTAGCAGTCTTTGGTCTTGTCTGTGAGATATTCTAATTAATAATCTGGCATAAGATTAATGCTAGTTTGAAAAAAACCAACAAAACCCAACAGACAAATCTTAAACCACATCAGACCATTGGACAGCTTTCTGCTGGCTTAGTGAAATGTTCTGGCTCAGCAAGGATTCTGATGGACATCAGCAAGGGGTGGATGAGGAAGTGAAACCTCATTTCCTGTGGACAACTGTTGGATCAGCTCATCCACCTGATTTGACTTTGCTCTGAAGACTGTACCTCCTGTATTTCATGAGTCCTCAATCTGGTATCTCAGCTAAAGGTTTTAGAATTAGAGCAGGCCAACACTACAGTCACAGGAATTAGAAAGATGCAACTAACCTGACACCACAACTTACCATTGCACAAAAGGTCAAGGTAGGAAACCTTTTCTCACTCCCAACACGGTATCACCACAAAAACTGAATATAATAGAGAATACATAAATGTGGAAACTGGGCTAAGGGCACAAGGATTTTCCAAGTATTCTAAATACAATTCTCAAAAATGTCATTGCTAGAACCTCATGAAAAATTAGGAGAGAGCCTCAAAACGGACAGAAAAGCTTATACCTCTTCACATTAAGAATTTGTTTGTATTCCTGTTTTAAGTTTTAGAAAAAAAACTCAGATGTTTTGCCTTCTGTGTTTTCACCTCACATCCTCAACATCAGCTAAGTTTGCCAGCACCAGGTACTAAAATTGACGCAAAGACAGTATGCAGTTCTGCTATAATTCCAAATATTTCAGTTGAGTATCAAATCTGTGACTGACCACACACAAATTTTTAAGCCTGCTTATCACACTGGTAACATTGTCAGTTCTGTAAATATGGTTGTTTCGAGTTCACTGATGTACACATACTTAATCATTACCATTATTAGATTATTATATCAGAGCACAATCTAGTGAAAACATGGCATTTACCATTATTTCTCCATGTCGCTCATCTTTTAAAAGCATCAGGGAAGTCACTCATACGCACTGTCATTACTGCAGCAAGGACAGAAAAAAAAAGATACCTATTTTTGTAAAACAACAACAAAAATAGTTTTCTCAAAAGAAAAAAGACTACAGGAATGTAACTACTTCATCAAGTCAAAAATAAAAAGATTCTTAAGGCCTTTTTAATCCTCTAGCACAAACCATGTTACCAGACAAAGAGATCACAGTATCACAGAATTGTTAGGGTTTGAAGGGGCTTCTGGAGATCATCTAGTCCAATGCCCCTGCCAAGACAAGGTCACCTAGAGCAGGTGATACAAGAACGCATCCAGGTGGGTTTGTAATGTCTCCAAAGAGAGAGACTCCACGACCTTCCTGGGCAGCCTGTTTCAGAGTTCTGTCACCCTCAATGTAAAGAAGTTGTTCCTCAAATTTAATTCCTAATAAAAACAAAGGAATCAGGCACAGATGCTCTAGCATCGGTACAATTTGTTAACAGCGAACAACTACAGAAGCAACAGATTCTTTCATTTTCCGACAGCTTCCAGTCGGGACAGGATGGTTAAAGCCGGTACCTGGACAAAGCTGAGCAGCCGCGTTTTTGTTTACACAGAGAAAATTAACGGCCAACAGTCATCGTTGTGTGAAAACCGCATTCTACACAGCTCTGGAAGGTTATGCCACTAACAAATCCCCACTTTCAGTTCCACATTAACTTCAGCACAGTTATTTTTCGTGACCATCACAGGGAGCTCCTCAGACATCAAACCGCGTTGACGATGAGCACACTTCTGCAGCACAAAGCCCCCAACCGCCAGCGTTTCTCAAAGGTTTGCTCGTATCCACAAACGCCCCGCGAGACACCCAGGAATGACCGCCCTTCCCGAGCTCCCTCCCCGCTTCCCCCGCCCCGCGCACGCGCAGTGCGCCGGGGGGCGGTGGCGGCGCGGCCGCTTCATGACGTCAAAACAACTCGCGACGGCGGCCGCGGTTGCTGCGGAGCCGCTCCTGCTGTCCCGCCGATCCCGGAGTCCCGGAGTCCCGCCGACTGCCGGTGAGAGCCCGAACCGACTGCCGGTGAGAGCCGAGCGGCGGGGCCGCCTTTCCCCCGCGGGGCGCCTGGGGCACGGCCGGGGGCGGCGGCCGTACGTGGCCTGAGGTGCGGCGGGGCCCCAGCCCGGCCCTGCCCACGGGGGGTCTCGCGGCGCTGTGGCGGGCGGGGTGGGACGGACGGACGGACGGACGGACGGAGGATAAGGGGTGTCTCCGGCTTCCCGCGGGGATGAATGCTGTGTTTCCTAGTCCTGGTACCGCTCTCTTCAGGGGACCTGCCCCGAACCTTAAGGCACTTCTCGGCTCTGCGTGTGGGAAAAACGCGTTCAAGTTTGGCGCGGGGGGAGCGCAGGGGAACTCTCTCTGCACTCTCGTAATTGTGCCTTAGTAACCATTAGTAACCAAGTGATGCAGTATCGCTTAACTCACACTGGGCTCCATCTCAGCCTGCTAACCGGTGCTTTTATTGCTTTCCAAGATTTTCTGCACGTCCAGCAAATTCCAGTTTTCAGATCATGGAGGGAGAACAGATTATGGAGGGACAGCCACAGGTATTGCAATATTTGATGTGTATAATGCTACGTGAATAAAAAGAGCATTTTCTCTTTGCTGACCATCTGTTATTTTACAGGTTCCAGAAAATCCACATTCCGAATACGGTCTCACTGAAAATGTAGAGGTAACAAAGCTGTTGTTGTTGTAAAGTACAGTGGAAGTCACATTCCTGGTCAAAGGAAAAAACATTGAGTCTTGAGTCTGGCTTCAGTAATTGTAATGTTCCTAAGAAAGTTAGCTGGAAATCAAGCCAATAGATACCTGTCCCTTGCATAAATGGCTGTATATATTTTCTGTTGTATTGCTTCCATTGTACTTAATGGTTCTGAAGTAAATAATGCACCTTTTAATGAGATGGTGGGTTTTTTTAAGTATCTTATGATCATTATCTGTTCTGTTGCTATCTATGATATATATACATTTGTATAATCTATTATGCCACAAAAAAAGCCATCTGGACTTTTATTACAGAGAGGGGAATAGAAGGAGTTTATGGTATTTCTGTGGAAGTATCAAAGGGAAAGATTCTTTTCATATTCTTGTCAATAGAAAATTTGCATCAGAATAATCCAAACTATCTTTAATTACATATGCTGAGAAGGAGTAGATACAGTCCATTCTCTTGCTGTTGGTAACAGTGTGGATTAGAGTAATAGAATCACAGGGTATTCTGAGGTGGAAGAAACCCACAAGAGTCATCAAAGTCTAGCTCCTGATCCTGCACAGGACAGCCCCAAGAATCACATCATATGCCGGAGGGCATTGTCAAAACACTCCTTGGACTTTGTCAGGTTTGAGGCTGTGACTACTTCCCTGGGGAGCCTGATTCATTGCTCAGCCACCCACTGGGTGAAAAGCCTTTTCCTAAAATCCAATCTAACCCTTCCCTATCACAGCTTCATGCCATTCACCAGAGAGGACATTGGTGTCTGCCCCTCTGCTTTGCCATGTGAGGAAGTTGTAGACTGCAATGAGGTCTCCCCTCAGTGTCTTCCGGGCTGAACAGACCAAGTGACCTCCTCATATGCTCTTCCTCCTCCAAGCTGCTCCTCATATGTCTTCCCCTCTAGACTCTTCACCACCTTAGTAGCCCTCCTTTGGATGCTCTCTAACAGCTTTATATTTTTCTTATATTGTGGTGCCCAAAACTGCACACAATATTACAGGTGAGGCTGCACCAGCACAGAGTAGAGCAGGACAGTCCCATCCTACCTATATGGCATTATTTACAATTCCTTCAAAAGCCTTCAGTCTCCCTCCATTATAAGGTCCTGCTCTGTGCTAAGCTTTTGCAGAAACTATTCTTAAACATCTTTGATGACTTGTGTCCCTGGATATGTTGGTCCTGTATTGGTAGATTCATGTACCTTGTGTTGAATACATTTGGTTTCCTGGCAGCGGTATGGTATAATTTTTTAACTACAGTTAAAATTTTTGATTTTCGACTAAAAAGCACGTGGAAGCATTTTCTTTAATGTGTCCATCTGTACTTGGATAGAGCATGGTCTCAAAGTATTCAACTTTAGCAGAGTCCCCTTTGTCAGACTTCACCCGAATTTCTTGCGCTTTTAGCATTTTGTATTAGAAGCACATGCATACAGGAACCATGTAATTGAAACTGCTCTTGTTAGTAGTCATTTGTGTCTTAGTGGTGTAGAATTCAAATCTGTGAATGCAAAAGCAGAAATAATAATTATACAGATTGGATATCTTCTGTTTTAGAAAACTGTTGACTTCCTAACATTGTTTCCCCAAGACATAAGAATTTAACGGAAGGCTCCTCTGGATTAGGTTTTTGTGCAAGGAAAAATACACACTTAAATTTTCTTAGAAGATGTAAAGAAGTTATTGCCAGTGAATTGCACAGAGTTGGGTATTTTGTACTTCCAAAACAGATGTGGCTGCTATTATCAATGTGGATTCACTTTTTCTTTTGTACTTCAGAGGATAGTAGAAAATGAGAAACTAAATGCAGAGAAAACATCAAAGCAGAAGGTTGATCTTCAGTCATTACCCACACGTGCCTACTTGGATCAGACAGTTGTACCTATCTTGCTACAGGGACTTGCTGTTCTTGCAAAAGAGAGGTAAAATGCTTCAGTGTTCCTTCTGTTCTTGGCAAAATGTGGGTCTCAAACTTGGGCAGTACATCACCTTTCAGGCACATGGTTCTGGTAGTTGCACACCACACATTGTTCTGGTAGTTGTAAGAACGTCGTTACAACAGGTTTATGAACCTATAAATTACTGTGATTGGCTGTGCAGGATGTGTTCCCCAGTGAGGTGCTTATCATGCTTATTGGGTGCATATGGCATGATAAGAGTTATTCATTGAATTCATGATCCCCCAATGAGGTGTGCTACTGCAAAAGTTTTGGAGGGAAAAATGGGGTTATTTTTGTTACTAATTTTGTCACATAATTCACCTTATAAAAGTAAGGCAGGAAGTTGTTCTAGTTCTGAAGATTTTTGTAGTGTGAAATTATAAAGAGTTCTTGCCGTTTGAAAGAAAGCAAGACAAATCAGGCCTGACGTGCGTCTTTGTTGGAGATTAAAATGCTTTCCAGGAAGTCAGGCTGACCCTGCACTGTCAACACAGCAAGAAGCAAACTGATAGTTTATCATCTGAGTGAAGATTATGCTGTTGAGGTGCCCCAAATCTCTTACCAGCCAATGCAGAAGGGTATCCTTCAATAACAGCAAACAGCTGTTCATCTTACACTAAAAGACTCGAAATTAATTTGGCTATCCTTGCTAGTGGCAAGTAGAACTGCATGTGACCATCACTCAATTTCACTGAAATAACAAAATCAAAAACTGGTATGGATGACCATAAAGGCATCATGGCACCTACAGTCAGAACAATCATCAGCAGTGTCTTAAGTTCAAAAGGAGTTGTGAATTTGAACTGCAGAGTACAGAGAGCTAATTAGGCAAAATCAGGCACCTAGGAAGGTCCACCCTGTGTGTACACCTGAGCAGTGTGCAGATCTTCAGCTGACATCTGCGGGAGTTCTGCTGCACACTCAGTATAAAACACCTGTGAGGTGCATACCCCACACTTACACTCTGGATACTTGTGTTTCAGGCTAGCTTTTTCCTTTATCTTTTATTTATTTATTTATTTAAATCATCATTATGGAAGAAGCTTTTTTTATGGGGACTCATCACGTGAGTGAAACTGGACCATTGATAGAAGAGGTTGGGGAATGTGTAGGTATAAAATCCAACAGTATCAAACTGGCAGGTCAAATTGGCTGTTCAGTGGAGCATAATAACCCCTCGGGAGGGAGAAAACTGAGCTATCAGCTCTGCTGTATAATCTGATTAAAATCAAAGTGGAAAGTAACTAATGGATGCCAAGTTCTTTTTCTAAGGAATATAAAAATATTAGGGAACAGCCCAGTCTGTCTGATGGCTACGCCTGGAATTCAGTAGAAATTATGCAGGATAGTGAGCCGGTATTTGGGAGGAGTCAACACAATTTTTTGTCAGGTGTTGTGTCTTAGAGTTTATTGAAGGAGTCAGCAAGCACATGTAAAGAGGAATGCAGATGATACAGTCTGTTTAAATTTCCAAAAAGTTTCTCACGCAGCCATTCACTAAAAGCTTTTAAAGAGAGTTAGTTGCTGTGAGATTAAAGGAAAAGTCTTTATATGGATGGAGAACTCAGTGGACAAAATAGAGGGTAGAAGTAAATAGTGAATTTTCATGGTGAAATAAGATCAACACTAGAATCATGGAAAGTATAATTTATAACAATTTGAAGAAGAGGCTGATAAAATTTATTAATGAGACTGAGTTTTACAGACCAGGTATAGGTGTTTGGGTTTCTGGTTTGGTTTTTTTTTTTTTTTAAGTTGATGAATTGCAAGTAATTGCACAGGAATTTCATAAAACCTTCAAGAATGCTATGAAAAATTGAAACTATGGCAAAAAGCAAAAGATTGAATCCCAATAACAGAAAATTTTAGACCTAGGAGGGTAGTGACAAATGCTAGTGACAAAATGTTAGATTCTGAGTTGACAATTACCCGTATGAAAACATATCTTTAAGCTGTTACATATATATGTCAATGCATTGCTCTAGTAAAAAATAAATTCTGAATAGAAGTACTTAGAAATTGAAGGGTTAAAAAACAAGCATTATGTCATTATTTAAATTTATAATGTTCTTGTATTTTTAATATTATGTGTAATTCCAACTCTCCTGTATTCTGGTAGAATGTGAAAAAGTAAGAAGAGTGACAAGGTGGTCAGAAGGAATACTGTCTGTCTACAGAGTGACTTGAATAGATGATATCTAGAAAAGAGACTTCTCTGGGAGAATATATCAGGAATCGTTCAATCACAACAGTGTAGAGATGATGAGTTGGGATGGACTATTATCTCTTCTGATACAATAATGAAATAAAGTGAAACAGGTAGCAAATTTATAATGAACAAAAGGAGCTGATCCTTCACAGGTCACATAATTAAGCTACGTAATTTTTTTTGCCTTAGGTTGAGGACATTAAGGTTTTATTTGTGCTCAGGAGGCAACTGGTCAAAGCTGTAGAGGAATCCACTCGGATTGTTAAGGGTGGTAGCTCAGATATTGGTACATGCTTGGGAGCCAAAGGGGTGGGCCAGAAAAATATCTCTGTGCATTTCTTCCATTTTTTATGCTTCTTTATAGATGTATTTGCTCACTGCCAGACCTTTTGTCTGACCCAGTGTGGAAAAATTAAGTTTGTCGTTTATTCTGTGGACAAAATCCAGATTAGCAGGATTCATGCACTGTAGCTGGAGGAGCTTTTTTTTAAAAAAGTTACAAACTAAGGCCAGTGATCAGAAGTGTTTATTATTGACTGCTTGCAAGTTACAGCACTTCTCAAACTTAAAGTTTTGTTGTGTTCATTTCAGTTGCCAGAAACCATGAAAAGAACTTTAATGCACAAAGCTACACAATAACCACTTGAAGAAAATTAAGCAAAAAAGCACTGACAGATTCAGTTTTACTTTATATAGCATGAGTCAAAGAAATAGGCAAATGCATGTCACATCTAATCGTGTACCATATTTATACTTACAGACTATACCCTAGTTTTAGGTGTATAACCATAGCAATTTAGTAATTTTGAACCAACAGAGACTAAGACCCCTTTTTAAAAACTTCCTCATTAGACATAAACTGGAAATTCAGAGTCACTCTAGGCAGTCAGTCATCCCTAAATCAATACTTGTAAGTGTTGGGGAGGAGTTATGTTTCTTTTAAGGGATGGTGATTAGTTCTTCAGCTACCTAATTTCATATAACAAAAAATAATTGCTTTTGATTTACTTTTTTTCTTTACAGACCGCCAAATCCCATTGAATTTCTAGCAGCATATCTTTTAAAAAACAAGTCACAATTTGAAGACCGAAATTAGCTCCATAAAAATGAGGACAGTTTGGCTGCTAGACTGAAATGCTCATTCGCCGCTGTTGGTTTTCTGCTGTAAAAATCCTTTGGCCACATTGTTGTCTTTCTTAACTGCACAATTTGCTTTACCTTTTGAGTTATTTAATAAAGAACACTTTACATTTAATTTGTTCTCTTGTTTTAAACTAGGTATTAAGAGACTTTCAAAATAAAGTACTGAAACTGCACTGCTGGATGAAAGTCTGAGTAATTCCATGGGGCTACGTCACCTGAGGGCATGGAAAAATGGGGAACAATTTGTGAGGAGAATCACATGGGTGAAAATGTATATAACTTAATTGGATTTTTATGTAGCATCCCGCCACACGCAACATGCCTAAACAGAAAGCAAACAAATGAAGAACAATAAGAATTTCTTTTGAGGAAGTATTGATTAAGTAGGGAGGAGAGGACTTACTTCAGAACGCCAGGAAATGGATTTAGTTAAACAATTAGATCCAGCAGCTGAATAGATCACCTACAGACAGTGGCCAGCATTTCACATATTTGTGTTAGTGAGATGTGCTGTTCAGCATTTGTCATTGATCTCCTGTGACTGGTGTGCTGGATTTAGCTGAAACACAGAATAAAGTTTGAAGTAACTTATAAAGGTTCTGTAATTCAGTTCTCTGTGCTGCTACTCCCAGCTGGAGTGATTTTTCTCTGTCAAAGATGGAATCACCAAGTTGGGATGGACCCATAAGGATCATCAAGTCTAACTCCCTCCTGCTCACAGGACCATCTAAATCATATGATTAAGAGCATCATCCAGATGCTCCTTGTATTCTCACAGGCTTGGTGCTGTGACCACTTTGCCAGGGAGCCTGTTCCAGTAACCAACCATCCTCTGGCTGAAGAGTCTGGATGTCTTTTTCTGATGTCCAAGATAATCCTAATCTAAGTGGCAAAATACCAAGTAATCTAATTTATTTTTTCCCCTTGGATTTACTAATGTCTTTTGATTTTGTTTGGTCTTCCCAAGTGTTTTCATAACCTCTTTTTCTGACCCTTTGTTTATTTTTCTTGTACTCTCAGTAGAGCTAAAGGCCACAAACCTTAGGATACAATATAATAAGTTGCAGCAGAAGACAGGATCAGAAGAAAAAGATAGAATTAAGACAGACTATTTTGTCAAATAATAGTATAAAAGCTCTGAAAATAAGAATATTATGACCGTAGAATTGACTCATTAGGTTATTGACAGCCCTCCAAGTTCCCGTTTTTGTTTTTTGACACTTCTAACAGGGACCATACATAACGCTGTTCACTAGCACTGGATACTGGAATCCAGATTATGCATAGCCCTGTTTTTCACAGACTGGGAGAATAAACATTTTTTTTGACAGTCACAGAAATGGCAAACTTGTCCTCCAAGAGTAGTTAAATTAATCAAAATCCTAAATTTTTATTAAAATATTTTTAATATTGCCATCTTACCATTATCATTTCCATTCAGTGTTTCTTAGCTAATTGCTTTAATATAGCAAACAGTTAAAACCTTTAAATTAAAGTCTTTGCTGCAAGGGTTGGTTTTTTTCCATGTGCTATGAAAGGCTGCATATTTTTTTGTAATTATGCATAAATTCACACGAGAGAGACTTGGCTCTCTCATTTGACTTGTTCCTGTAATGGTTTGTAGATACACACTGTATTTGCAGTATAATAAGAATTATTTTCCTTGGTTCTCTGACATGTAGTTGACTTTCCTATGGTAATCTGAAGATTTTTTTTTTAACATAGCTTTTCTTCTTTAATACCTTAGATACATGGGTGTAAGAGTGGCCAGAAGAAAGATTCTTCAGAGGAAAAAAATTAACTTTTCAATTGTCTACAAACTTGCAGGGACTGAGGTCTTGTCATTACTCCTAATAGGAAGGCTCTCACTATTTTACGTATATATTAGTATACTAACAGGGAAACACTGAATTAGTGCAGTCTAAAAGCAGTAAAAGTGGGGAACAAGTAAAAGCTGAAAGAAGTCTGTAAACCCAAAATCGAGCCTAAAAAGCTTTATTTTGGAAAATGTACCAAAATTGTGGAATGAGATTATTAATTCTACTGCATTGTGGTGAACACAGTTTCCATCAAACCATGACACTTTAACAGATACTGAAAGGATTTTAACAACAGTGTTTTGACTTTCTGGAATGAGTAATAACATTTAAGTGAAGACAAGGAGACACCATAAAGACTTGGTACTGCTATTTTTATTGCTAAAGTGGCATTCCAAGCTTTCATAAATAACAACTTTGCAAGACTGTTAAAGAATTGTTAAAAGCAGGGGGAATCTATGCTGCTCCCCAGTTTCTATGTTGAAAATTTGTGCAAGACCATACAAAAAGAAGCAGTTCCACTATTAATCCTCCCTTGACAGAGCAATTTTCTTATATCATCATACCTGAATTCAGAATACAAAGAAATCGGACTTCTCACCTCACAGTAACACTTGCAAACAGCTGCACAAAATTTGAAATACTCTGTCTTTCTACACAACTCGTGCATCAACCTAGAATCTCAAAGCATCGGTACCAGTCCTAAGGCAAGCTGTCCCTGCCAGCAGCATGCCATCTACTCAGCTGCTGGTATCACTGGTACATCATGTCATCTGCTGTTGTTTTCCCACCCAGTCTAGAGATTTAATTCAAGAGAATGAAAAAGCCATGTTCACAAGGGGATGATGTTAGAAGATTTTACTACAGCAGCTTTTCTGGGCAGCCTTCTCTGAGATAATAAGTTTAAATGTTACTAGCAGCAGTGAACTTACCAGTCCTAAGAATTAAATCTTCCTGCAAAGGTATGACAAGTCAAGAAGAAAAGTGCAACAATTTTCCTTTCTTTGTTAAACTGGCTTCACCAGTTGAGATCTGCTGCACAGGGAATACTCTGTAACAGGAACAAGTACTAAGTTACTATCTGAATAAGCAGATCATGCCTGAATAGTCCAGTTCTCAGTTACAAAAGTAATGATAAAGTCCAAATTTTCAAAGCATTTACTTCTTTTAAATGTTCCCCACAACAAACAAAATGAAAATTCTGTGAAGAGACTTCACAGATGCTTGCTATCCCAATTGAATCCGGGAACAAGGAAGTACTATTTTTCCACGGGAAACAGCAGCTCTGAAGGCTTCAAGATAAATGTATTTAACTTGGGAGTAAAAATAGATGTAGAGAAAAAGCTTAAAGAAATATTTGAAAATGGCAACTTCAGATGTATGACAGGCCACTGCTAAGTAGCTGAAAGCCATTATCTCTTGGTTTTTGAACAATTATTTTTTTTTATTTCTCCACACTACCCTAGGTGAGTCAGTAGATGCTCTAAATAGCAGTAAAACTGAGCAGAAAATAAAATGGAATACCTGGTTTATGCCACAGTATACCATGCAAGATGACTATTTTAGATCTCCAATATCCAGAAGTTACTATTCAGTAACTGTGAAAGAATTATATATGAGTCATATGGAGTATTTTGAAATCTGCCTTTTTAACTGCTTCTACGGAGAACATTATCTCTTACCTTGAAGGGAACAGTGACAGAAGAAAGGATTTCCCACTAAAAGCAATTCTGATCAAAGGATTCTACATCCTCATATTCTGAAGCCTCTTACCACCTAAAAATACAGTTTGACTTGCCAAATCTTTTTTTTTTTTTATCTCCAATTTATCAAGGACTTTCTCCAAAGTCAGTACATGTCTTTGAGCTATCCATTTTATTGAAGTGCTGTCACTATTGTAAATGCAGTCTGATCAAAAGAACTCTCTCCCCAACAGACTTTCTAGAAATAAAACAGCTGCTTTCAAACAAATGAAAAATCTGAAAAATTCTGAGAGATACAAGCTGTTGAAACCAGTAGGCTGGAAAGGAAATATGAGAAGAATCCCTATGCCTACCACGCTTGAGAGAGTACAGGTTTTGATATATTCTTATCATTGTACTAATTACATAACAAATTATTCTTAGCCGAGCCTTAGCTTGCGTTTCCTATTCTATTTCATAGTCAGGATTCATTTTAAGAGTGACTACATAGCCTAGATCACAGAAGTACAGAATGCCAGCTGTTACAGAAACAGGCATTTTACCATGATAAAAAGACGATCAGCACCGTGTCTGCTCCTGTTCCTCATTCAAATACAGTTTTAAGTGAGGACTTCAAATGTAAATGTGCCATGAATAATTATGGGGCAGTTTACATCAGTGCTAGTGCAACAGTGACTAGGAATGTGTCATATTCCTATTCCCAATGTGCTTTTAGCTCTCTTCAAAGTTTGCTTTGTAATTGTGCGTAATAGACTCATTTTCAGAGACAAGCCTAAATTTATAAAAGGCTGCTGGGTGGTTGAGAAGTATTTACAAGATGAATAATTACCCACTGATATTATCTCAGGTGCTATTACATTATATAGGAAGTGGAAATATTTCCCTTGTAAGGACAATGAAGTTTGGGGGGGCGGGTGTCTGTTTTTAACAGCAGAAGGAAGGACTGCTTGGAACAGCAGGTTCCTCAGATGCAAAATGACAGTTTGTAAAGAGAAAAACCTAAAGTAACAGTGAACAGCTTCCTGAGAAGGGGGGGACAGGAAGCGGGCATTGTGAAAAGCATGATAGGAAAGAATGCAAAATAAACCACGTGCAAGAGGACAATGGGAGCAAAAACTGAGAGAGCAACAGACCTTGAAAGCTGGGCCAGCTGAAAACATGTGACATCCAAGATGGGCACAGGGGGTTACTTGAGGAAAATCCTGCATGCTAAGGACACGCTAACTGGTGAGTCACTCTTGCCACCCTTGCTTTTCTTCCAGGTAAGGAACAAACTGCCAACAAACACACACATGTAGCAGTGATCTGTACTTCAGGGTTATGCAGACTTGGGGGACTGTCCATGCATTGTGTCAGCTCTGCCCTGCACATCAGAGAAAAATGACAGAGCTAACAGCTCTGAACAGGTAAGTGCTCCTGTTACTGCTCCCCATACAAACAGTGCTTGGAAGAATTACGGACGAAGTAGGAGGATCTCCCAACCTAACCCATGATTCACAGCATTGCACTGAAAGCTCAGCCTAGTTTCTCAGTCTGTGGCTAGAACCCTTCCATACCTCCACGTCCCAAGCACTAGGAAGCCCAGCACTGCCATCTTCTACGTAACTCACAGAATCACAGAATATCCTGAGTTGGAAGGGACCTACAAGGATCATCGAAATCCTACCTCCTGGACCCACACGGGACCACCCCCAAGAATCACATCATGTGCCTGAGAGCACTGTCCAAATGCTTCTTGAAGAGCTGACTGCTTGTCTGTTTCTGCCTCTTTCATTTACATTATCTGCTACTGAGGGAACACATCATCAGCCCTGAAGCACAGAAACAGTTCATGATTGGGAGGTGATTGTTAGAAATTTAAACAGATAAACCCATAAATCACTAAACACTGCTCAATGGTATTATGTCCACCAGTGATAGGGTACAAATTAAAATCCTATTTTCACCCTTGCCGGTAGAAACAGCAGAAGTTCCTCCTGCAGTACTGTGGATGACAAAGTTTCTCAGGAATGTGCAGAAACTGAGGAGGATGTCCTCCAGCTTCCCTGGGCTCTGTATTGAGAGTGCTAGTCAGTAACAGAGAAGGACAGGGATTCACCAGGCTGCCATGGTGTTTATGGCACATACCACAATTCAAGGATTAGCAAAAAAAAGCCTGTGCTTTCTGTAACCTGCTAACACCAAGCTGTAGTGTTCCTCTGCATCTACATGGATGCTATGTTCATGTTCCATCCAGTAAAAACTTCATCCTAATCTACACCTAATCTAGGAGAGAAAAAACTACATACAAGGAAAAAAAAAGTTAATGAGGGAGAAGGAAGCTTAAAAAGGAAGCACAAGGAGAAAAGGAATCAAGCCTGTTATACAGCAACAAGAAAAGAAATATATTTAAGAAATTTTGAAAGGCAAGCTGAAGAAGAAAAAACCACTATATAAAGGTGGGAAACCCAGAATAAAATACTTATAAAGAATTTTTACTTATTAAACCATCTAGATTACCACTCAGAAGTTCTTATTTTTTAATCTTGTTGGAGCAAAAATGCTCAGAGAAAATGAAAGGCCTTCTTCTAAATAAAAGAAAGGAATACCAGATAATTAAAAATAATTTTAACCTCCACTTCCCCTAACATGTTCCTCCTAGCAGCCTCCTCAAACTGTTTTTGGTGGACTGTGGGACAGTGGTGCATCAAAAACTTGAATACATCCTGGCATGACCCATTTTTTAAGTACATGATCACAACATTTATTTTTCTCCATGGAGTGAAATTTATCTTCTGCTGCATTTAGTTAACTTTATTGAAGGATTAGTTTATTGAAGGATCAGTTCAGGAACTACTCTCAGTACTGAAGTTTATGTAAAAGGTTTGAGAAGTATAATTGGGTATTACAACTGCCAGTATAGTTTTATATTAAAACAGTCAGGTAGGATAGTTCTTCCAGTCTAGGCAGCAGTTGTAATCTGCATTAACCTTTTTCAAAACACTATTTGTAAAATAACAATGGAATACTGTGAGGATAGATAGAGCAGTGAAAACATTAGACATTTGCTCAGATAGTTAGGCCCCATTTCCTCATGACAACCTATTACAAACATTGTTACTTGGACACTCCAGTCCTTAGTGCCCCTCAGCTGCCTTGGGAGGCAGCTTGGGAGTGCAGAGGAGGATCCTCATTGATAAAAAAGAAGTCAGCCATTATATCTGAAGCAGGAGCCTTTTTTTATCTTCAAGACATACTGCAAACAATGCCTTTGTCCCTCGTTTCCTTTGTTTCACTGTAAAAAAAAAATCAAACCCAAGTAAACAAAAAACAAACTAAACAAACAAACAAAACAAAACAAAAGAAATCCTCTGTATTTTGCATGCACTTGTAACTGCCTGGAGGACTTTTTTAAAGAATTCCATGACACAGAGGCAGGCGAAGGATGTCCTTCCTGACCTGGCCCATACAGTTCCAACCCACAAAGCACCACTCTGCCTCCAGACCTTGATGGCTGCGGCCCCTCATCCCTCCCGTTGTGGCTCCTCTCCCTCCTGCTCGCATCTCACATATCAGCGGCTAAAATTGCTTTTTCCCTCCCCGCTTTAGTACTGGCCACACTCCCCTCTCCAGTTCTGCCTCGTTAGCTATTTCGGGCCACGCCTGATGTCTCCCTGGCAGCGGTCCATTCACCAAACCAATTAAAAAAATAAAATTAAAGGGGTGAGGAAGTATGAGGCTGAGAAGGACACGAGACTTCCATACGGCTTTATTCCCGCGGCCCTCGCTCCATGCCACGGCGCCACGGGCGTCACGGCACGGGCAGGGAGGCGTCGGGAAGGATCCTGATTCAGAAACAGGGAGCCTCAGCCCAGCAAACGCCCTGTTCCCTCCGGGGATAGCGATGCCTTTGGTAAACGATGCTCTATGCCTGCAGCCCTTAGCGTCCCAACTGCTCCCACGGCCCGTGCGGGGCCCGGGGAAGCGGCGGAGGCGCGAGATCCCGGGATAACCCAGCGGGCCTGGCCGGGCATCCCCCCGGCCCCCCCGCGCTCCCCTCGCCTGACCCGCGCCCGGAATCTGCCCCGCCACCACGGAGACACGGCCCGCCAATCAGCGCGCACGGCTCCCATCGCCACGGCAACGCGCCGCCCAATCCACGGCCGGCTCTCCCGCCTGGCCCCGCCCCCTGCCCCGCTCCCCCGCGGGGCGGTGCCGGGCTCGTCAAGGCGGTGGGCGGGGCCGACGGGGTGCGGGCGGCCAATCGCAGCGAGGCTTTTGCTTTGGTGCCCAATGGGGGCGCGGCGCCCGCGCGGCCCTTAGTCCACGGGAGCCGAGCGGGGCCAAACCCAGCTGCGGCCGCGGCCTCCTTCTCTGCGCGCCCCCCCACCCGCCGGCGCGGAGTTGGCGGCGGCGGCCTCGGGCTCTGTCCCCGCGTCCCCCCGCCGGGACCCCCCCCCGCGGCCGTGCCCGGCCCCGCGCCCCC